GAATAACGGGCGGGGGGCAGTGACTGCAAGCAGGGGCGGTCGCTGCTTCCGTCCGTGCAGACAGACGTTCCCTTAACATACACAATTTCTGGGTTTTGTCCCGAAACTAGACAAAGTTATAGGGAGGAGTGTGTGCTAGTTACTCTGGCAAGGATGGAAATTCTGGGCTTTGGGCGGGGTCTTTTTTCCCATTTTATTTTTACGAGGCTTTTTTTAATCTAAATGTATAAGTACACATGCTATTTTATTCTGGTTTCGCCGGGGTTTTATTCCCAGCAGGTTTAATTGAGTAGGAATGGCCTTGGCATACGTGGTTATATGTTAATAACATCTAGTTATACTTCTTATTCAAGGGGTTTGTGAAAGTTGTCAAGAATAAGGCGTACTTCAAGAGATACCAAGTGAAATTCAGGAGAAGGAGAGGTACTGTTAAATTCCCTGTAACCTATAATTAAATGTCATTGGTAAACATTCCTACTTCTTTTTCACACGTGTTTTCCACTTTCAGAGGGAAAAACTGATTACTATGCCCGCAAACGTTTGGTAATACAAGATAAAAACAAGTACAACACTCCTAAATACAGGATGATTGTGCGTGTTACCAACAGAGACATCATTTGCCAGGTAAGGTCTGTGGTGCTTGCTACTTACCTGCTGGCCTTCCCAGAGTGAAATAACCAGACAGCGGGTGGCTGAAGAAGCTGGGATTTTTTTTTTAGGCTTTGATCCGAGTAGTTTTTATACCGTAAAGTAGTTTCTTAGAGGAGAACAATCTATAACTTTGATGCAAGATCGGGAATAAACCCTATTCATGATACAGAATGAGTTTTGCTACTGTCAACGTTCTTCAGCAAGGTTATTCGTAATAGAAGATCGTGCTGGTTTAGTGACACTCAGCTAAGTAGAGGATTTTAGGGAAAGGGAAGATTTCTCGAAGGGGTTTTTTTTGGGCTGTCTTTAAAGTGCTTTGAAAGGAGGCCCTTGGTTGCCTGAAGATAACCAGGTTGACTACGTGACCTGTCAGCCTGCATTGACTGTTGGGCTGTATCTGACGGTGCCTTCTCTTTTGGGAGGTTGTTTTTCCGTGACGTTGTGTGGATCGTGTGAAGCAGGGAGGCTTTCCCGTGAAATTAAAGGAGACTGGTAAATAAGAATAGTAGGCATTTTTTCATCCTTATTAAGTATGCAGTTGTGTGTTGCATCATATGCAGTTCCTTGCTTTGGTTCATTTTCCCGTTTCGTTTTCAGAATGTTTTGATTGATTTTTGAAGTTAAAAACTTAGGAATGTTTGTTCTATCAGACATACATGTGAAGCTTAAAAAAAGGGCAGCTAGAAAAATCTGTCGCTTCTTTCTTCAGAGAATAATTTTCTGTTGAGAACAGTGGAGAGTGCTGTTTTTAAGAGTCGGTTCAGGCGAAACTCTATGACCTTGATGAGGTTATTTTATCTTTGAAACTCAAAACATCGTTGGTGGCAGGTGCTTACATCTGACTGTTAGTGCCTTTCCACTACGTAGGAATCCTGCAAAAAGGTGACAACTTTTGGATGCAGAAAAGAGGTGTGGGAGTCAAAAGGAGAAGGTTCTGTATGTGAAAGGAACAGCAGAAACATACCTGATCTCACTGCTGTCTCACAGGAGACCCCTGGGATTATGAAAATCTCAGACCCGTTAATAAAACGGTTCCATGAGGTTAGGAACAATTGTTATCACAGACTCTGTCAGGTGCTTTTGTATTTTTCTGAGGTGCATTATATACTGGGTGTATGAGAACTACACACAGGTTGTAGTGGGACAGAATCCATCCACATCTATAACAATTCTTTGAGAGGTTGCTTTTGTAGGCAGTTTCCTGGCCTCTTGATGTATTTGGAGAGGTAAATAAAAGTTGATGCTGACACATGCTTTCTCTGGCCCAATACTCCTTTATGTCTGTACTTGAGGAGTTCATTATGCCATAAAAAAATAACAAAAAGAACACAACCCCTTGAGCTCGCATGCGAAGGCTGGTGGTTTGCTGGGTGTTTCTGTACAGAATTCCTGTTGGCCTAAGTGGATGTTAAAGAAGCAATTAATCGAGCCCAGAGTTATCGTGAGAACACTAACAGTTGTTTCGTTGTCAGATTGCCTATGCCAGAATCGAAGGCGACATGATTGTCTGTGCTGCTTACGCCCATGAGCTGCCAAAATACGGCGTGAAGGTTGGCCTGACCAATTACGCAGCAGCGTACTGTACGGGTCTGCTGTTGGCACGCAGGGTAGGTATCTGTCAGATTGTCTGGAAGTTGCTGCTCTGGTTTTCTCACCCAAGGGAAAGCCCGCTTTAAGTGGCGTGCTAGGGTAGATACCTGACTCTGTGGGCTTCTCTAAATACTAACCTCTGTTCTTTACCGTGTAGATTTGATGGCCTCTATTGACTGTCAAATCACAGTGAGAAGTATGACAGCATGCAGTTTCAACTCCAGCAGCCCACTTTTAAGTCTCAGCACTTAAGTTTGGTGGAGGGAGGGAGTCAGGATAAAAATGTAAGAAATGTACCTTTACAAGTCTGAAAACATGTGAACAGCATCCATCCCTTTTCCGTACGAGCTCATGAATAAGTCTTTAAGTTCAAAGGTGTACCTGTTGGAACAAAAGGTTGAAACTTAACAGACGTGCCATGATGGTTGTTGAAAGCTCTGTTATTAGTATGTAAAGAAATTTGTTAAAAACGTGAAGATGCTACTGCAAATGTGTGCTTTAAGCTGGCAGTGATGCTTCATTTTGACAATAAATCGAAAGAATTTCAGAAGTGCTTTTTTTTTTTTTTCCCCCACAGCTTCTGAATAAATTTGGCCTTGATAAGATCTACGAAGGCCAAGTTGAAGTGACTGGTGATGAATACAACGTGGAAAGCGTGGATGGAAAGCCTGGTGCTTTCACGTGCTACCTGGATGCAGGTCTTGCCAGAACTACCACTGGAAACAAAGTCTTTGGTGCTCTGAAGGGTGCAGTGGACGGTGGTCTGTCCATCCCTCATAGGTAATCTCGTCTGTTGGGAAGAATTCCTTTAGAATTAACCTGAGATGCTTCTGTATGTGACAGTCTACTTACACTGTCACTTCATGTTGAAGTAATTTTGGTACGGCCTGGTAATGATTATGTAGCCTAGGTTCTGGGGTGGGGTTTTTTTTGCTTGGCTCGTTGGTTGTTTTTTTAATCCACAAGTGCAGTTCTGATGGTGCCGCTGGGAATCTTGCAACTATCAAGAGGGGCAATTACATTTCTAGAAACTAAGGAGCCGTCATGTTTCTTCTACTTAAAATCATCGATTGAGTGCACTTAAGTAAATATCCTTTAGTGTTCTGTTGGTTTAAGTCTTTAGCAAATTAATGTGTGTATTAGTTTCACTGTGAAAAGCCGTGTGCACCAGGTACAAAACCACTGACGTTTGCTACAGTTGTCAGTACAATAGTAGGTTTGAGCAGTCCACCTGCGCTTAAAATTTCCACGTGGAAGTTTTGACAGTTCCTGTCACAGGCGCTGAATGACTGACTCGAGTTTTTTTTGGCAGCGTTACCTAACACTGATATTACAGGTGACTGCTGCTTTCTGCTAGCAGCAGCGGGGGGAGAAAGTCTGTGATCTGTTGCGTGGTTTTCTACCCTTTCCCGTGCTGTCCTGTTTGTTCTTGACTAATGGCCCCGTTTTTCTGACTTGGCTGCTATGTGATGATACTCCCGATGACTGAACGCTCCATAGTTGGTCCATGGAGTGTGTATGATGGAGTGCACTGTTTCAAGACGGGACTGATGGCAGCTGAGATGAACTTAAAACTTCCATTTCTTCATTTTCTGTATCTCTTAATTTTTAATTAGAGGGTCCTACCCCTCAGTTACCTGTAGGAGAATCTGATGTAACAGTCATTTTTTTGTGGAACCTAGCCTCTGGAGGATTTGGCAGTATGTCTTAATCTGACTGGAACTGCTCTTTTGCAGTACCAAACGTTTCCCTGGTTATGACTCAGAAAGCAAAGAATTCAACGCAGAGGTTCACCGCAAGCATATCATGGGCCAAAACGTTGCAGATTATATGCGTTACCTGATGGAGGAGGACGAAGATGCTTACAAAAAACAGTTCTCCCAATACATAAAGAACAATGTAACACCTGATGGGGTAAGATTTATCCGTCTGGCTCTTCTGCATTAATAGAGATGCTGATGAGTCTTGCATAGGGCTTTCTCTAGTAATGCAAATAAGCTTGATATGTAAAATAATGTGATTTGTGTTGTATGTTATCCATACAAAGACAATATTTTTTCCTTCATTCTAGTACATTGTAGATCTTTTGAAAGTGAGATCTTTTTTCCTGCTTAATATTCTGCCTATAAATCTAAGCTTACAGGACTGCATTCTAAGCTAGACCACTTTAATTTCCCTATTGAGGGGAAAAAACCCTGGGAGTTTCTGTACATGCTGCTCACTCACTCCTAAGCCTGCACTGCAGCCTGTCATTTCTGCAGCTGTGGTGGTTGCTACTGTGAGAATGTGCTGTAGGTCAAATCTGGTTTTTGATTTGCGTGACCCTGTAGGTAGGTCTAGGTCCCAGGTGAACACAGAGTAGCCCAAACTAGCTCTGTTGTAGAAGCTAGCATCTCATGAAACTACAGAGAGTGTAATGCATCTTATTTTAGTACTGCTGGAGATGTTAAAAATATCTTATACAAAACACTAGAAGATACCTAAGATTACCAAGTTGCTTCTTTCACTTCTTGCAAGTGCTGAACTCCTTTCAGGCAGCTTCTCTTGCTGCCTGTAATGTTCTCACTTGGTTTCCCTAATTCATGGTCCTGAAGCTTGAAAAAAGCACTCTCCCATCCCCTTTTTAGACTATGGAATACTTAACTTCATTCTTTATCCCTTTATTGCTATGGGGTTTGTTTTCGTTTGTTTTTTTTTTTTTCTTGTAAATTTAACTAATTGCTAATTTTTTGTAACTTAGTCTTAACTAAAAAATAAGTAAATTTGTATTGTAAATGCTACCTTCATCTATTTTACTAAACAAACAATATTTATAGTTTGTATGGCAAATGAAGTAGGTGCAGGACTTAACGTTAATAGCTAGACAGTTATTCTTGGTACATTTAGAAAATTTTTCACAGGTGGGGTCTAGTGGTCTTAATTAACCACCAGCAGAGGTATTCTTAAAATCAGTGCCATAATGGAGCCATAGTTTTCTTTGGGACAGAGCAGCAGACAGCTGGGGATCCTCTGGTGCCTTCTGCAGGCGATCAATGTAACTGGACAGATCACTTCCATTTTCCTGTCATACGTGTTACAAGAAAGTAGCTCAAGTACAAGGACCCTGCTGTACGAGCTGTCAGAAGTTGCTGTTTGGATGTAGCCCCTGCTCATGTATTTCTGTTACTGCATCCTGGGGATGACGCAGGGGCTGTCACAGTTCTTATGAGACTCGT